CTACCTTTTCATACTAAAAAAGACAATTTCACACTTATATTTTGAAGAAAAAAGACAAAATCTAAAAGCTACCAGATCCTACAAATCAGTATAAGAAAAAGTAGACAATCCAACAGAAAATATGCAGATTTGAACAGGCACTTCAAAAAGAAGTCATGTAGCCTTCTAAAAAGGTGTTCAATTTTATTAACAAATAAAGAAATGAAAATTAAAAAACAATGAGATAACTTGTCACACCACAAAAGTGGTTAAAATGAAAAATATGGATAACACTAAATGTTGATAGAATGTTGCCCAAATAGTATCTGCGCATACTATTGGGAGTGTAAATTGGCACTTCTTTGGAAAACTGTTTATCAATAATTACCAAAGCTGAATCTATGAATATCCTATAATCTAGTAATCCTCTATAGATGGAATTGTCTACATAGATTCATAAATGCACATGATTACCAAAAGACACAAGAATGTCAATAATAGTACTATTATACTAGCCCAAACTTTCACCTACCCTAATATCCATCAAGAGATAAATGGATAGATGAATTATGGAATATTCATATAATGGAATATAATCCAACAGTGAGTATATAACTCATGAAAAACATTGAATAAATCTCTTTAACATAATGTTGATCAAAGGAAATCACTGATTGGAAAAAAAATACAAAACATGTACCTGATGAAGGATTTGCATATAGAATTATAAAGAACCCTATACATTTCAATAGAGACAAACAATCCACTTTTAAAATGGGCAAAAATTTTGAAGAGGCACTTTATCAAAGAAGATATATGAATAGTGATAATCTGCTAAAGATTTAGAAAGGCAAATCTGAGATAACAGTGATGACACGATTTTTTAACTTTCCCAACTCGTCACGTCCCATAAAAACAAAGCAACTAAAACTACAAAACCACAAACTCACAGCAACTTTCATAACAAAAGTTGATGAAATACCTCCAAGAATTCCTAAAACTCAGAGCTGGAGACAAACCACTGATAGGTACCCATATCATACAAGGGTCATCTTTGTGGAATGTAGAGGGAAGCTAATGGGTAAAATGATGAAGAAGAATGGGGGTACCCAAGTGTAGAGTAAATGAAGAAGATCAGGCTTTTGCACCATTGGCCTCTGTGGCTATCACCTGTGGCCTTGAATGGGAGGCACTTGGGAGCATGGGCCCTGGGTACACTTGCCTGATGGTGGACACCTGGAGCATGGTGTGGGCATGCGTAAGTGGGTACACCTGAGCCTGAAGGCTGAGCGTATAAGAGCAATGTGGCAGAGGACCGTGCGGCAGAGAGCAGTGGAGACCAGTTACAGAGGAAATTGCACAGAGATTTGCGGGGGGGCGGTCCCAAGTTGCTCTCTTTCTGCTGGCTTGTTTCTCCTAACCTGTGGAGATGATGCCAACGGCTTCAAACTTCTCTTTTAAGCTGCCTGAACCGATGATGAACCTACCGAGCCTGGGATGGTTGCAGAACACCAAGTCACCTCTAAGTCTTCAATAAAAGTGTAGAGGATAGACAGCAACAGCCAAATTGCTGTTATGCAAGGAATTACCCTATGCTCTGAAAGGACTTGAGCAGAGAGACCCTATGAACTCTTGAATTTTACCAGCTGAAGATCCATTCAGGACACAGCTCCACTACTGGGAACAAAATCGTTATTAAATAGGTCAGGAAGAAAACTGAGGCATAAAGTAGCAGCAGCCCCAGCTTCAAAGTGTCCTAGTGTTGGACACTCTACTCTATTTCCCATACTAGAATAACCTGAAAGATTTCAAAGCAGACTAGATGGGATATAGAATCCCATTTAGTTCCGATTGTTTATCTACAGAGTTTTGTGTACTGTTTATGATTCAGGAGAGAAAAGGAAAAGGATTATTTCTATCTCATTTCTTCAATCTTCTGCCCCAAGGACCTCAATCTCTCCTCAGAGGACTCACCTAGTACGGAAGTCACCTAGAATGGAAGTAGCAAGAAAAGTTGTGAAATGTAATTGTTTTTTCCTACCATGATAGCGTTTGGTGGATTAAGGAGACAGCAAAAGTATAATTATCTAAAATAGTTCAGTTAGAACAATTTTCATCTTAATTGCAAAGAGTGACGGAAAGTTTCAGGAAGCAACAACGCAGACAGAAAAAAAAGCACTAAATCACCAAGGCAAGGCAAGGGAAAGAAAAAAGTAAGAAAATGAAGCTAATAAGCTCTCAAAGAAGAACAATTATACCTCGAGCAAAATCAGTGTTAGTGTTCTTATCAACCAAACAGACCTTTCTCATGGTATGCAAAGAATATTTTTACCAGTAAATACTTTTATAATTTACCTCAAACCTGGATTTGTTGAAAACATTTTCAAAAGTACCCTTCTTGTTAATGTTCATTCAAGAAGGCAATCAGAACTAAAGTTGGTAGGATGCACTCAAATGAAAAAAGCAAAGAAAATCTATACATTTTCATCCCAACTTTATTTTCCTGCAATCCAAGGTAAAACATTGCTATTTGGTATGATTTAGTATTTACATTTTAGGTCTGGGAATGTTCAAATTTTTTTTTCATATAAATTAATATTAATAATGTTCCCATCCTTTTTCTTGAAGCAGAATTGTCTCAAAAAAGACTATTACACACAAACCAATAAAAAAGGTGCTTATGAGTAGACTGAGTAGCCTTGTAGTTTCCATCAGAAAACTGATGGAAAAAAAGATGTTTTTTTTTTTTTAAGAAATGCAGGAGAGGGCCTCCCCGGTGGCGCAGCGGTTGAGCGCTGGGTTGCGAAACTGCGCGCGGCCTCTGCGGCGCCGGTTCGATCCCCGGCTGCTCCCTGGCCACCGGAGGAGGGTCCCACATGGCGCGCAGACCTCTCCTGCCGCTGCTTCCCTCAGCAGTGTACTTCAGTCCTTCTGCCTGCTCTGCTCCCTCTGGCTCTGGTGAATTCTCTCACCCTCCCTCCCGCACTTCTGACTGTACCCAGTGCATGTATAAAAAAACAAACAAACAAACAAACCAGCAAACAAATAAATAAAGCATGCCTCTATTAAAAAAAAAAAAGAAATGCAGGAGAAAAGCTAGATATAATTATATGTAAATGTAAATATTTTCAGCTTGTGTTTGGCAAGTCAGTCCAAATTCTGTAAGATCACTAAGGAACTACATGAAATACCATCTCAGATAAATATATTCCCCGAAGTTACACTTATATACTCTGGCGTGGTCGTATGAAACTCCCAAATAGGGCCTCCCCGGTGGCACAGCGGGTTGAGCTGTGAAGCTGTCCACAGCCTCTGCAGCCGCGGGCTCGATTCCCGGCAGGCCAGGGAGAAACTCACATGGCGCAGCAGACCTCTCCTGCCTCACCCACTGCTCCCCTCAGCACTGTCTTTTGTCCATCTGCCTGTCTGCTCCCCCGCTGTCTCTGGTGAATTCTCTCACCCTCCCGCGCCTCTGACTGTACCCCAGTTCTTGTATAAATAAATTAAAAAAAAAAACAACTCCCAAATATTTTAGGGCATGCCTTAGTAGTTTGCAAAAGGATTTAAGTAATCATAAAAGTTGATTATTCCTGGAAAAAAGCAAAACTCAAGCTCTTTTTTTTCTTTACAAGTTGAATTTTGCTTTCAGTGTTAAAATTAATCCAGATTATATAGCTAAAACAGCATAAGTGAATATGTTGAACAGAAACTTCAAATTAACGACCATAAAAAACTACGTACAATGCTTTACATACATCAAGCTGTAGATTAAATAGAAAAATGGCTCATGTCTACAGGTTATTAATGACCAAAATGTCAGAACCACTGTTGATTGAATTTTCGTTTAAGTATTTGGTCACTTAAATGAATTAACTCTTGTTAAGCAAAATAAGTCAGAAGGAAAAGATAAATACCAGATGGTTTCACTTATAGGTGGCATATAGATAAACTGAACAAAAGTCAAGAAAAAGACAAAAATTGCAAGCTGATCATAGATTTGAGGCATCCAGCAAGGGATGGGGAGGAAGAGATATCAAACAGGGAGTTAAGAGCTCAAGGGACTATGGTGATAGATCATGGTGCTACGGTGGTGGGAAACTATGGGGACTACATCTGAGAAATCAAATACTGTACAAAAATGAAAAACGATGTAAGAAAATAAAATTTAAAAAATTATGTAAAATACCAAAAAAAGAGGTAACTTCATTGAATGATTAATAACTTATTCATTCAACTTATTATGCCCACAAACTAAGACTAGGGATTAGACATTAATAAGTACTCAACAGATATTGATGAGCTGACAGTATTAATTTGTAACAATCAGAATGAAGAAAAGTCTTGAAAAAAAAAACACATAAGTTAAAATAAACCACTCATTCAGAATGATGTGCACAGTATAAGTCCTTTATAGAAAAATTTTTAAATTCTCACAAAACACAAGTTTCCAGAGTCAAGCATGCAATGGAATGGCGAATACTGATTTTTATCCTTACCTCCAGGCAAGGAATAAAGACAGTAACATCAGGTAGGCATACCTCATAGTCCAGAAGTCTGTAATTGTTCCTATTTGGATCTAAAGCAAATGTAAATTTATTTTGATAAAACAGGATGAGGTACATGATTGTTCATTATATCATTCTCAAACTAACAAATCTGTAAAACAAATTTACAACTAGAAAAAGAGAATACCAGAACTTTGCAGGAAAAAAATGTACCAACAGATCAACAGTATTTACTAGCTAATCATATATTTTATGCATATAATTATTTAAGATCAATGATCAATAGATTGATGATCTATACATCTTCTTTTATAATTTCAGTATAGTTAACTTTTTGGCTTTTAATAAAGCAAATTTCCTTTTCTTCTCAAGAAATAAAAATTTGAGGAAAATTTATATTAGAAGTATCTTATATCATCCAATTTAGTCAGAGCTGCTTGAAATTTCAGGCTTTAATGATCACTTACTGATCTACATTGATATGGAGAACACAGACATATAATAAAGTCACAAGCATTCTATTTTATTATAGCAAACACTTTTATGGCATCATGAAATGAGTTAATACACGTAAAATTAAGCCACACAGGATTAAGTCTTTATTTCAAAAAAAAAAGGAGAAAGAAATTAAACCACCAAAGATACATTTCACATAATAACAAAATATAAAAGAATGAAGCAAAGTGACAATGGAAAAATGGCTAAGTAATGGATTTAAGCAACTTTAAATCCACCTGACTTCTTGCCTTCTTTGTCCTTCCACTGTTACATATGTAAAACAAGTATGGTAATAAAGAATGGCCTTGTAAGACTTAGCAGGAAGTTTAAAGGAATTTTCAAAAAGCATTCAAATAATTTATAAATACCATTAGTAAAAATATTTATTTTATTATACTTTCTGTTCAGTGATGGAGTCCTTTAAAATCAGTCTTTGTTTTTAAACATTGATTCAAATACTCAACTGGAGAGGTATTCGCTTTCTTCCAAAGTGATACTTTCGTAGCGTATCACAGTATTTCTGATTAAGAAAAAAACCATACGAGGCGTGCACTACCTGAGGAAAGAAATAGTACTGCAGCACAACTGGCAAAGTTCTAAGACTCAGTTCAATCAAGCTGTGAATTGTCCATGTTTGTGACTCCAGCACTTTCCAGTATCATAATAAAATCATATTCTTTGTCTCGTGTGAGATTTCTTATATAAATTAGAAGAATTTAATTTCTGTAAACATTTGCAGTGCCACCAATTTCTGTGAATGGTTGAGAGTGCTGCTCCAAAAAAGAATCATTTCTTACATGTCCACGTCCAGACCCAAAATAAAAGTCAACATTTTTCTGTGAAAAGAGAAATACCCAAGAAATATGAAAGCTCTCTTATCCACTTATTTCACGCATGTAATAAATCCCCCATAGATTCCTGATAAATTAAAAATGTTTTCCAGTTACTTATAGCTCATCAGATGTATTGTTCACCTTTGGTAATCGACATTCTTCACTCGAGTGACAACTCTGAAGGATGTCCTTGTAGTGGGTCTTCAGATCTTCGTATAAAGAAACAGTTTCTTGTGAGTGAGCCAATGGTAATACTTTTTCATTCAGTAACATCTGAACTTGGAATTCTTCTTTAGGATTCTTAGCATTTTTACAATGATAAAGAACAAATATTAGGTTGGAGGCATAGGGCACAATATGACCACTTCGGAACTTTCGATGCATTTGTTCCTTGTAATTGTAAGCTGTTAGGGGCTCCTTGTCTTTGAAGTAGCCATGAGAGAAAGTAGTGGAAGAAGGGTCTCTGCATGACCAAACTGGAGAATGACTGGAGAAGAAATTGGCTGAGACCTTAAAAGAGAAATTGAGAAAAAACAAGTACATATATTTGTGTCATAGAATATAATGTCTACACTTACAAGTAGTGTACACTTTCTTATTTTAAGAATCTTTACAAATACAACTGAACAACATGGTTGAAATTCTGTGTGGTAGATAACACATTTATACTAGAGGTTAAGGACCAAAATCCAGGCTCATTGTAGTATTACAAATCCACCTAAAATAGTGTTCATGCATATTATTCTTTAAATTTAATGAGAGAATAGTTTTTTGAATCAAGAATTTGAAGCAGATTATTGTATTTCAAAATTGCTTGCTTTTCTGTGAATGAAATTAAGCAAACTGTCCCTTAGTAAATATTGGTAATTCTGCGGAGCTCTTCTGAATTCATTTCAAACTTATAAAAGACAAGCAATATTCAGCATATGTCCCGGGGAAAACCAAATCTGAACAGGTAATGGTAACTCATATAATCCTTCAATCATTTACAAGACCTGACTTGGGTATCACATTCAGAATAGAGAGACAAACAACCTATTCTAGCTGACATAAGTTGTATAATAGTTGGAAGTGAAATTTATACCTGCCAGAAATAAAACAGCTTTAACATTATGAGTGTAGGGTAAGGTAAAAAATGTCAGGCTTTTCTGCCCTCCTGCCATTAGGATAGATGACAGAACCCTGCGGTCCAGAATGCATGCCTGATGGCGGGCACCTGGAGTAGGGTGTGGGCATAGGTAGATGGGATTCACCTGGGCTAAGATTGGTCTTTTAGGGGTGGCATCATGGGGACGCCAGCAGAAGCAGAGGAGCAGAAGCAGAACGAATGGAGAAAGGAGAACCACGAGAGAAGCAGAGAGAACGTCAGAATGCCCAGAAAGAGTGAAGACTTGACAGCCTCCCAGCCTGCTGTGTGCCTGGTAAATCCTAATAAAAGCCTGCAAAAGCCACTGAGAGCTCCAGGACTCTCTCCTTCTTTACCCCGTCTTGCATAGGATCATAGAAAACCTGCACAGTGTCCTTCCATCCGTTACAATGAGCTAAGTTTAGTTTTTTTCTTTTCAAGTTTTCCATGAGTTTTTCTGGTGAATATTACTTAGCCATTCCCCAGATTTTATAGTAAAACTATTACTACTATTTTTTTTTTTGTGGGACCCTCGCCGGCGGCCGGGGAACGAGCTGGCGCTGCAGAGGCTGCCGCTGCGCCACCAGGGGAGGCCCCTGTTACTACTATTCTTTAGTATAACTTGTAACCTTATTCAACACAATCATCTGACTTCTTGCTACCATCTCATACTTTAGTTAATAAATTTAGTGCATCTGGATTTTCTAGAAGGACAGCAGCATCTGCAGCAGTTTTGCATCTTTCTGATTCCCCACAATAAAGCAGATGAAGCAACTAGATAACAAAGTCAAAAGCCATGAGAAACAAAACATAATTTATGTGTGAAAGTGTTCTTCACAAATGTAAAGGCAGGAATAGTCACTGAGCAGGTTTTCTGATCCAGCAGACTGGGTAAAGGAGTCAGAATCCTTAGTGGCTTTTTGCAGATCTTTTTATTGGAATTTACCCGGTACACAGCAGGTAAGGGGGCTGGGGGGCCGGGAGGCTGGCAGTCCTCCCAGCCCCCAGCAAGTCTTCATTTTATCTGGGCTCTCTGGCGTTCTCTGCTTCTGCTTCTTTGCTTCTCTCTTCGCTTCTCTTCGGCTTCTGCTGGCGTCCCTGTGACGCCGCCCTTAAAAGCCCAGTCTCAGCCCAGGTGAATCCCATCTATCTATGCCCCACACCCTACTCCAGGTGCTCGCCATCAGGCATGCATTCAGGACCGCAAGGATCCATCATCTATCCTGATGGCGGGAGGGCAGAAAAGCCTGACATTTTCTTTACCCTCCAACAAATCATCAGCAGGCTCAAAAATCAGTATATTTATCAGTATGAGTATGGAAAAAGTGAAGGGAAGTCACAGAGCATGTAGAACTATAAAAAGCAGGAGACTCCCAGAAGCCATTAGATAGTCACAGGAAAATGCTGTGGGTCAATTTGAGGAAATGACTGCAACTGTGATAGGTTTAGCCCAATTAGTATTTGGTGAATGCAAAGGAAGTCTACCATTAGCCCACTCCTGGGGCGGGAGAAATTTATCCTCGGTGAGCTCTACAGTCACTCCAAGACTACATTCCAGGACAGAGCCCATGTGAAGGAGAAATTGCTGAAATGGAATCAAGCTTTGGCCAGAGAGAGACAGTAGAAACAAAGAAAAAGTAGGTCCAAGTAAAAGTGAGGGAGGGGACTAGAGTCAGGAAATTTCAAAAAAGAAAGCAACCCACCATATTTCTGAACACACACAGAGCAGTAAGTAAGCTCTGAGAGGTGAGAAAAGCAATCTGACATGAGACTTCTCCTAAATGATCAGAAAACTAAATTCACATTACAATGAGTAACAGAAAAGTAATAAAGAGTAGAAATACGTTCCTATGGGAAAAAAAAGGTATACTAGGAATACATACTCAAAAACTAAATACAAAAAAACTCCATTAACATTAGTCACAATTATCTTTTGAGATTTATAATCTCTAAAAGATGGGCAATTTTAAAAAACACCAACCAACCATTAATCACTGATATACTTTTATTAGGTAATCTAAAGTATCTTAAACTCATTATTTCCAAGAAGCATCCACTAGATCCAAAGTTACAAAGTAGCACCATTCAGACCATAGCTATGTTTGGTTTGACCTGCATCAATATTGTACTGTATTGTCAGTATTTAAAAATTGGTAAGATATAATGTTCTTAAAAATTCTGATTTTGGGCTCTTTTGAAAAACCGGAAAGATCTAGCAAGATATAGTTCCCTAAGACAATAATCAGCTGACTAGGAATAAGGGTTACCCTTCAGAGAGGACATTTACCTGCTACACAAGATACAAAGATCACTCCAAGTTATCTAACATAGGTTGGATTCATTCATTTGTTACTTGCCTGGCCCTATTATACATTTGAGTATGTTTAAGTCAAATCTAATACTATTACCATAATCTAAATATAATGGAATTGAATAGTGATAAAGTTAAGGAAAAGGAAGTAATATTGGTTTACACTGTAACTTCTCTAGCCATGAGGCAGAAAGCTCAAAGCCAGGAACAACCAGAAGCTCAATGCTTCCTTATGCTCTCTGTAAGATCTATTTAGGACACACAAGAGGTCAGGAAGGATTGTGGTAATAATATTCCCATTGCCTCACAAAAAACGTATCTGTGAGTTACTCTCACCTCTCTTCCCCACTGAAGAATTTCAATGAACTGAGAAGATACATGACAATATATACAAAACATTATATTTTCAATATATAATTAACTTAAAATTAATGGACTACCTTATATTCTTCTTTTCAAACAAGTTTTCAGAATGCAGTGTGTACTTTACTCTTAAAGTACATCTCAATTCACACTATCCTAGTTTTCAAGTACTGAATAACCATACGCGGCTGCTAGGTACTGTGGCAAACAGTATAGGATAGAGAAATGTGGGACAGTCTTACATATTTGCATTCAAAAGCCAATCAAATAAAAAGAAAAGAGAAAAAAGATACAAAAAATGACCAGTACATGTTAGAAAAAAATATGTGATGGAAAAAAGAAAGAAACCAACAGGTCTATGTACAATTATGATGAGTTCAAAGTCCTATTACCTTCCAGGTACAAAAGAACTTAAATCTAGGTTTGACCTACATTTATTTTAAACTTGAGGTTCTTAGGTTTTTATTTCAAAAAGCATTAAAATCCATTTTTTCTTTTGAATGCCTTAATGTCAGGCATATGTAAAAATCAACTGTTTTTTATTTTCAACATAGTATTGAAAGTCCTAGCTAATGCAATGAGACAAAAATGAAAGGTATTCTCAATATGGATTGGGAAGGAAGAAATATAACTCTCTGTTGCAGATAACATGATTGTCTGTATCTACCAAAATTCTGGAACTAGTAAGAAATTACAGCAAAATTGCAAGTTACAAGGCTAACAGAAAAAGTCAACTGCTTTTATATAAACATGTAGAAATTTCAAATTAAAAACACATTACCATTTATTGATACATTAATAGAAAAAACAACACTTAGGTATTAAATAAGGAAATATTTAGAAGACCTATATGAGAAAAACTACAAAGTCGAAGAACAACTAAATAAATGGAAAGATATTCTATGTTCAGGGACAGGAAGACAATATTGTCAAAATCTCAGTTCTTGCCAATTTAATCTAGAGTCAACAAAATCAAAATCAAATTCCATTTTTGTGGGTATGGACAAACTGATTCTAAAATTTATATGTAGAGGCAAAAGATTCAGAAAGGTTAACTCAATATTTAAAAGCTGATGTGTTCAAATATATGACACTACTTGTTTTAAAGATTTATTATAAAGCTACATTAATCAAAGACAGGTGATACTGGAAAAAGAATAGAAAAATCAATCAATAGAACAGAGTCCAGAAATACATCCACATAAATATAATTCACTGACCTTTGACAAAGGCACAAAGGTAATATATCAAAGAGAGTCTTTTCAACATTAATTGTTGGAACAGTGGACATTCTCAAATGCAAGAAAATGAATATAGGGCCCCCTGGTGGCGCAGCAATTGAGCGCTGGGCTGCGAAGCTGCCTGCAGCCTCTGCAGTGCTGGTTTGATCCCTGGCCGCCAGTGAGGGTCCCACATGGCTCACAGACCTCTCCTGCTGCGCCCGCTGCTCCCCTCAGCAGTGTATTTCATCAGTCTGCCTGTTCTGTTCCCTGCTCTGGCTCTGGTGAATTCTCTCACCCTCCCACGCTTCTGACTGTACCCAGTGCTCGTATAAATAAAATAAATAAATCTTAAAAAAAAAAAAAGGAAATGAATATAGAGTCATACCTTATACCCCCTCACAAAAATTAACTCAAAATGGATCAGATATAAGTCAGTACTATAAAACTCCTAGAAGATAACATAGGAGAAAATCCAGATGCATTTATT